GTAGATCATGATGTTCTGTTAGAATCGCTGAAAACTGTTTTCCAAAATTCGCAGCGGGTAGTGTACAGCATCGATTTCTGTGGAACCCAGTAGCTGTCAAAACTTTCACATTTTTACGAATAACTCGGAAATCGTAAATTTTTCAGGTAAAACGGTTGAAACAAACATAAATTAAAATTGAACGGCCAATCTGAAAACAACAAAAAAAAAGGGGGGGTTTCATTTAAAAAACCAGAGTTGGTAACTACCACACGTTTATGATGCACCCTGTATATTGGAAAGTAATTTTAGAATGTGGACCTTTTAAACGTGAAAAACTTTCGTTGGACGAATTTTCTTGTAAACTTCATATTTACTGAGATATCGCACTTTGACGCACTAATGAGCAACCCTGTATATGGTGACAAGATTAAGTGCAATCATTTTTCGAAACAAAGGAGAACAGAAAACAGTAGGGACAGAAGCTAAAGACTGCAAAATTTCAAATAATCATGCACGCGAATGTTTTTTTCACATAAGGACGCTGAATTAAAGCTGGTCTAGAAGTTAAAACATGATTCTCAACAATAACAAATTGAAGCTAATAAACATTTCGCAAAGAACACGAAACATTGATAGGTCGATATAAAAATCGATTAATATCTTTAGGATCCGCAACTTTACTTAAAAATCCGTATTATACCTCTGAATAAACCTCTTTGGTTTGATCCAAGGGGTACCTTGCAATTGTCCCCCCTGATGTGGGGTACTGATTGGACGCCCGGGTATTTAAGAGTGATTAGGAGTTGATAGTGTCACCAGCTTCACTTAGAATAATTATGAAAGTGAAGCAGCAGAATCAAAATAAAAGGTAAATAGAAGTGAATAGTGGTTTCGATGGAAAACAAGGCCCTACAAAAGAAGCAAATGGAGCAGCTAATATACAGAATTTTCAGTCAAGGGACGTTGTATCCTGCGAAATTGGATACAACAAAAGAAAAAATAGTAGAAAATTAATGTTTCGTCAGGCGAGAGAAACGCCTCTCCCGCGTTTGTTAAACATGCTCGGCGGAAAATAAAACACACAAAAACGTCGTAATGCCTACCGGATGAATCGGACGGACCGGGAAAAGGGTCCAACTTTTGCCTTTTGCTTGGAGGCCCATCGACAAGATGATCGGCCATATCGGTAGAACAGTTTCCCCGATTAACAAACCTAAGCTCTGGTTCTACACTCGCACTGACCAATCAAGTTGCACTAGATCTATTTATTCCAATATAAGTACAAAAACATGGTTATTTCGACTAAAATCATAATAAACGGCAAAAAAGAGTCGATGTACCGAATGTTCGATAGTCGATGCTTATCACAAGGCACATAATAATCAAACTAAAGTCAACCATCGGCCATTATGAACTTCGACTAGTCCGGTCTGTCGACTACGGTTCCTGACGGCCCGCGACCATCTTCCGTCAGAAACAATCTATATCAAACTGAGCCGACAATTGATGTTCTAATACCGATTTTGCACACACTACAGTCAAATAAGACCACTATACACATTTGGAACACTACTTTTAACCAAAACTGGTGCTTCTGAAAGAACCCAACTACAAAACGACGTGAATTCGTGTTAATTTCGACGCGACCTCAAACAGGCAACATGGCCGCTCTTTGATGGAACTTTTTCTACGCCTGTCAGAACTCTCTGTCTAGCAAAATCTATTCGCGATCTCATAGGCTAGAGCGCGACACGTGACAGTATCCCCGTTCCTTATTGGCCGCGATGTCCCGGAAGAAAGGTTATGACGTATGTCCGTCGTCACAATTTACGAACAATACCGAAGACAACCGACTCGGCCTAAAACCTTGATGGACATTTTTGTATTTTATTCCTGATAAGTTGCATTAGGAAGTAGAATTCACAGCTCGAATAAATAAGATTCTATTTTCTGCGACTTGCCACATACTTTCAACTAAATAGCCCAGCACGGCCTTACTGGTTTGACAAGCCACTACCAACAAAGAACAAAGGTCCTTTGGAACTGAGGAAAGTTAGAATACACCACAGGATTATTATCCCTTTGGGTTCCCCAATTTCAACAAGAAACATGGCTATAATGTGTTATTTACATTCTGGTACACATTTCAGCGATTTCACGTATTCACATAAACAATACCAAAGGAAAACCATAGTATTCCATAGACCTTTACGGACCCTCAGTTTTAGCTTGGTAGATGCTGCTTATTTAACTCTTCGAATCAAAATAAAACGCAGTTTTTAACTGATTGAATGTCATGTTTACTGAATGACACCTAACCCAACTATAAAATCATGTAATACAAATGATATAACTTGTATAAAACCTTAATATTAATGAAGTACCCTAATCCAGATTATCACAAGAGGTGGGCATGTTCACAGTTCTTTCAGTGTGTTGTGTTTGGCTCTTCATCTTTTATGCGACATTTTTAATCAGTATTGGCACTGGAACAAAATATAAATAATAGGTATACAGTTTGTGTGTTTTATGTGCACGAGTTTATCAGCTAGTAAGATATGTTGGTTGTACTTACAAGCTCGTAGAACTCCAACGTACGCTGCGAAAATACACAAATTGACTATAACTGCATGTCTATACTTTTTCCTTTCGTCGTAGGGATCCGCGGGGGCATCAAATCCTTCCTGGTCTTGAATGCGTTTCATCTTTGAAAACTTTTAGATTTCCTCAAGCACTTACAGCAAATAGAAGCAGAAAATAAGATTGAATGAGGTTGTGTCCACCACGTGTCCACCATCACAGAACTCAGACTCAGTCTTCTTTTGAATTCCCATTGCAGATCTTCACATTTAATTGAATTGAATTTTATCAAAAATTGTTCAAAATTCAGTTTTTTCATCTCGCTTTTAGCGATTACACTCATTAGATAATTGGACCTATTGCCTTTTATCATTTAAATAAACCTTGTTTGGCAGCAAGTGGCAACTAACCCCAATCACCTGCCACCAAAATGTTTACTGTAAACAATGTTAACTGTTTCATTAAAACCCGTTATTCGCATCTGTGCACTGTCCAGCTTCACTGCCCCATTCCATTCATCAAACTTCACCACGAGCCAAAATGAACCTATTGCAAATAGTGTTTTGCGTTCTAACAGCCACTCTGATCGTATACTCGAGCTTGATCAACCTGCTGGAGCCACGATTGCCACAGTTTCTTTCCAGAGTCTTCAGGTATGGCAAATTCGCAGTGCCAGGCAAGTCGGTCTTTGCAGTAGAAGTACCTAAGGCGTGGTTCAAGCATTTCTATATTCTGGCTGTGGTTGAGTACATCTGCTTTATGGGATTGTTGTCGCTTGTTTATTTCGCGGGCATGGCGGTTCCACCCCAGATCAACTCAATATTAAACACGCTGTGTGGCCCAGATAGAATTGCTCGTTGTAAGTAATTAGTGTGTATAGTAGTTATTTAATTAGGTGGCCAATACATGAACAAAAGCCCCTTTTCAGGCGGCAAGCACAATGTGTACTTGGCAGCTTGTTTACTCACGACACAAGTGTTTCGTCGATTTTACGATACGCAGAAAGTATCAGTTTTTGGCGAACAAAGCAAAATGAATTTATCTCATTATGTTGTTGGTCATTTGCACTATCTGGGAACCATTTTGGCTGTGCTTTGCGAAGCTCCTGAGTTTGCCTACACTTCAGGTGGGAATACAGCTGATCCGGAATGGAAAGTGTGACTGATAGAGACCCATTGGTTTTAGAAAGTCATAAGCAATTGAACTTAATAACAACATCTATATCCGACAAAATATCAGTTCTAATATTTCTGTGCGCTTGGAAGCACCAGCATATATGCACTAAGATATTGGGCAATCTAAGAAAAAATGAGGATGGTAAGTTCAATTGGGTGTAGTCAGTGGGACCAGTCTTTATTCATTTATCCTTTGCAAGGTGATGTAGTGTCCAACGGCTATAAAATACCACAAGGTGATTGGTTTAAATATCTATCGTGTCCGCATCAGACTGCAGAGATTATAATGTACTCCTGCGTAACGTGGATATTGTGGTACAACGTCTCATGGTTTTTCATTTTCACTTGGGTGTTGGTAAATCAGGTAAAACCGAGCACCGGCAAGCCACTGTAGGTGCTATTAAACTACTGTTTCAGGTGGAAACTATCTTGTTGTCTCATTGGTGGTACAAAGAAAAATTCGATGATTTTCCTAAACAAAGAAAGGCTCTCATACCATTTCTGTACTAAATCAAGGGCTATTCTATACTGACCTCGTTTCCAATTCTGTTAATTTAAGTATGTCCATTACAAGCCGTTTACTGGAGAACTTATTTTGTTCTGTTCCGGATTAATTCGTAATCGTTATTAATCGACAGGTGGCTTAACAGATTAAAGCTAATTCAAAGCGTTGCCTTCGGACGATTTTCATATTGCAAATTTCCCTTTTTTATTAAATATGTGGAGCTCATATATAATAAATTAACATAAATAAAAATATTAAATTATTCTATTAACTTTAATATATCTCCCAGCTTGTCCAAATAAACATCCGGAACTAACTCCTTATCTTCTTTCGCTCCTGAGTGCTTCCATTCCACCACCCGGTCTAGTTTAGTCACTCCAGTCAATACCAGCAAAGTTTGGAATCCGCATCTGGTGCCCAGCAGAATGTCGGTGTTACACCTAAAGGTGAACATCAATTGAATATACAATTTGCATTTAAAAACCTCAAATCCCGAACCTGTCACCAACCATTAATGTTCTTGCAGGGTTCACGCCATGCTCTTTAATCAAACAATCCGCTATGTAAGAGTTCGGTTTGCCTACCACAATGGGCTCTCTTAAGGCACAAGTTTCAATTGCCTTGACTATCGCTCCAGTGCCTGGAACCACGATATCGCCGCCTACAGGAAAGCGTTCATCAGTGTTTGTTGCCAGGAACAGGCAGTGCTGCTTGCTGAGGTATGTAGCTGCTTTAATCATTTTGTTGAATGAAAAGTGTTCGTCAAAGCCGACAATCACGGCGCCCACTTCAGGATCTGGATGGAATGTTTCTAATGTGAATGCCACGTTGTTTTGAAGAACATCTGGCTAGGAATGAATAATGTTTTGAGCATTTAGGAATCGGCGAACTTGATGAGTGGATGTTTTATGTTTTACCCCAACGCCGGTGTATTTAATCCCGGCTGCTTCTAGCTCCTGTGCAATTCCTTTCGACCCCACTAGGTAAACTGTCTTAGTGAAGCCTTGGCCCTTTAAATAACTGACCACCAAATATGAAGTGCTGACGATTTCATCCTGCAATCAGTTGCTGATTTTTTTCGAAAACAAGACGTAGGTGCAACATCCCAAAAGACAAACTGGGTGCACATTAAACTCGAAAAAAAAAACAGTCGCTTACTTTATCAACAACAAAGTTCATTCTCCTGGCTTTGGTTACGAACTCGTCTCTGACTTTTGTGGAATTGTTAGTGACAAACATGATCTTTTTACCCATTTCCCTGAGCTTGTTCACTGCCTCAACGGAGCCTGGAATGACCTCGTTCTCGAGCCACAAAACACCATCGCAATCGAAAAGAATGGTGTCGATTGAGTCAAGGAAATGCTTTACTTCCGGCTTTGTTAGCGTGGACAAATTGGTCAGCGATGAGTCCAGAAACATGATCGCTTTTTTGGAAAAACAGGGGGTCGAGGAAGCTTATTAGAAACGTACTTAAATCAAAGTTGAGTGACTGTAAAATTAACCTTCAATCCCCCTTCAAATTTTAACCTCAGATTTTTTCCTTCTGACAGAACTGACTCAGGACCTCAGTCACTTGTCTTCATCTATGACCAAGTCCATCCAGTCCTGAACCAGAAGCCGAACATATGGAATAGTTTGATAATCTGTGATATGGAAATTAATTCCAATTTCTCTACTTTGAAACGAAGTTTCCCCCCTCTAAAACCAATCGCAACGCCTTGGAACCTTTCCAAAACGACCAGCAAAGCGCTCCACAATCACCTAAGGGCTGAAGAGTCCAAAACCCAACCCCCCCAATCCCAAACTCCTAACACTAAAGCCAGTACCGTCCCCATAACCTTAAAAAATCCCGCAGACTGGACCAAATTCCCTACTAAAACACTATCTAACAGTCTCCAACACCAAAAACCATACCTCAGGAGTCTCCTTTTCTCCAAATTCCTCAGATGACCACCTCCAAATAACCACAATGCTGAAATCCAACAACATAGAGAATTACACCTTCACTATGCAGGAAACTGTCCTTCATCATCAAGGGCCTCGACTCTCATATGGATATTGAGAAAATCCGTAATGAAATCGAAGCCCTGGGTTTCAGTCCTGAACAGACCCATTTTTACCGGCTGGAAAACTATAAAAAAGTTTCCAATGTGGTAAAAGTCTTTACCACAATCCCAAACAAACAAGTCAAGCTTCCGGTCCTAATCGAACCACAAAGAAACACTAACACTTTAAATATTAAACACATTCCACAATGTAAAAATTGCCAGAAATTAGGGCATTCGTTATCGAACTGCGGCTCAAAAACCATTTGCCACAAATGTGCCGAGCCGCACTTCTATAAGGAGTGTCTCAAATCCCGTGACCTTCCTGCCAAACGCAGCAACTGTGGAGGGCCTCACCCTGCCAGTTATTTTCCTTTGCCCAAAAACCCTAACTTCACCCTACAAACAGAGGCAAAGCGAAAGCAAACCCTGTTTAACAATAAAGTTCAACCAGGCACATTCTAATTCTGTTCTAATTCTAAACTCCCCTAACTCTGCCACAACCCCCAAACCCACTAACCCAAAACACTTCCGCCACACAATCGCCCACAGCCCCTAAATCCCCGCCAACGCCACTAACCCAGCACTCATCCCTAAACCCACAAATCCTGCTTCTTTCCGACGAAGAAATTAAGGCTAAAATTGGTAAAATTGCGGCCGCGATTTCCCGAAACCCCATCCTCAAAATGCTGTTAAAAAGTAGCATTAATCTCGCAGGTGTCCATATCGTTTCATGGAATGCCGCATCCTTGTATCCTAAAAAGTGCGAGTTTTTCAAGAAACATAAGTAAAATAATTTTACTTTCTCTATGTAAATCGTCGCATTTGTTTGGTGGAAATAGGAACAAAGGAGAGTTTCCTATTCTTTGTCTGGACTTTAACACATATATGCCAGGATCCGCTGTAGCTAAGCTAGTAAAACCAGAACCCAGTTACCTATCATTTATTTACAACTTGCAATTATGTGGCCACCTCGGGAAAGGAATGCAGTCTTTGATGGTCTGAACCCCTAGAACGAGTTGCAGATACCTTTCAAATCCCATTCCAAAGCCCCCGGTAGGGACACTGCCAAATCGCCTTAAATCCAAATACCAGTCCAACTGAGAGTTACTTTCGGGTATTTGCGCCTTCAACTTCTCGTAGCTATTTTCGCGTAAACTTCCGCCCACTATTTCTCCTACGGACGGGGCCAACAAGTCAAAAGCCGCCACCTAAAGTTGAATCTATTAGCTGTGCTGCACAGCAACTAGTGTTTGATGGTAATACCTGATCGTCGTTTATCTGCTTCATGTAAAACGGTTTTTCCTCTTTGGGCCAGTTTATGATAAATACAGGTACATGACCAAAATAATGCGTTAACGCCACTTCATCCCCTTTCGTGAAGCCTGTCTTGCTGGAAACGGTTTTATTCAATTTGTTTGTCACAATGTCCAAGGCTTCTTCATGGGGTATTCTTTTAAATTCCTTGTCAATCCAGGAATATTCAATTTTCTGTTGGCTGCAAGTTTCTAGATCTGAAAAATTGTGTTCGAGCAAATCAGCAGTAACATGTTTGATCATTTTCTCCACTACATCCAGCAGATCGTCCAGATCGTCCAAGAAAGCCTGTTCTAGTTCAAGCATATAGAATTCGGACAGGTGAAACCTGGATATTGAATTTTCGGCTCTGAAAGTGGGACCAAAACAGTACACTTTGTTCAGAGCGTGAGCCGCTGCCTCCAAGTGCAATTGGCCCGATACTGTCAGATAGGCCTTGGTATCAAAGTATGCATTATCAAAAGGAACGTCTTTTTTTGCCATATTTTTCAGTAGCTGTTCATTGTCTGGGACCACTTTGAAAGTCTCGCCTGCACCCTCGCAGTCATTGGCAGTGATAATCGGTGTATGTATATTGATGTAGTGGTTTTGGTGCAAGTAGTTGTGAATGGCTAAATAGGCTGCATGTCTAAGTCGTAACACTGAAGCGAATGTCTTAGTTCTGGGTCTCAAGTGCAAATACTCCCTCACGTATTGTGGCTCATATCGTTTTCTGGGGGCAAACGGGTAACCTTTCTCCAGATCACATTCTCCGATCATTTTAACGCTTGTTGCCGATACCTCATTTTGACCTTTAGCGGTTTGTTTCAGCAGCCCTGAGGCACTGACAGAAGCGCCCACAGTTACTTTGGGAACATTTTTCTTCGACGACACAATCTGTAAACTTTTTGGGGTTGAGCCGTCGTTGATGTCCAAAAAAGTCACTTCTTTCTGCTTTCGCAGTGCCTTGATCCACCCCTACGATACACCAGTTACAACTTTAAACAGTTAACTCTGTGCCAAATTATACCTGAATGAATACGTGCTGACCCAATTTGTCATCGTTGAGCAAGCTTAAAATGCTGCTAGTTTGGCTGTAGTTTTTCCTTAAGTTTATGCCTCTGTTTGTGATGGTTTTTAACATTTTGCTGAAATTGAGGTTAGGCCAGAGACAAGTACTTTTCTCTGGTTAGGCGCGAGGATGTTGACTGCTCTGGATCCGGTGAATGGCGCGTATTTTGAAAATTCACATTTTTCTTTTTAAAGTGTTTTTAGGTGAAACAACTTGAAGGAGCATATTTAAATCCATGGGATTCAGTTTCCTAAATAGTATTGGTAAAAGAGTTTTAAAACATGTTGGGGTAACTTGTTATGAAGAAAGTTGTCTTCAGTACCTATTAAACGTAATGAAGATTAAAAATTAGCAGTAAATAGATGGGTTTATATAGTATAGAATAGATATGTTAGTCGGACTATTGCGTGTTTAATATCTGACCGAAATGCTGAATGGAAAATTAAAGTAGAATGCTAAAGGAGCATTTTGGAGCTAAATTGCGCACGGAATGATACATTCATTTTTATGTGCGCATTCGCTATGTTGTCCTAAAATAATCTTTCTCCATTCGTCATTTCGGGCAGATATTGAAGACACCAAAATTTATACACTACATAGTTTTTTGTTTTCAATTCAGAGTTGAAAAAGGCCTACTGACCAAATTAGTCAAGGAAGGTTCGTCAGCTCTTCGATGCAGCAGAGGGTTTTGTTAAAAAAGAAAATGGTTGAACTGTGGGAGAAAGTAGTAGTAGTAATTTGCTAATAATCGATTGATGATTTCGTCGTTGAATAGGTGAAAAATATCGAAACAAGGATATTATGAGCGTGGTGTCCATGTGCATAGAAGCGAGGAAAAATAGCTACATGCCTATCAATTAGCAAGTAAATGTAGTTGAGAGACATGCATATGTAGACGGTGGGTAGTTGCTTGTAAAGGAGTGGCGAGGCCTGTTCAGTGGGACGGAACAAAACACGGCGTTACAGAACAAAATATAATTTATTGATAATGATACGGAGATACATTAGCTACAAAATATAAATATTACACAGGTATTGGGCGCCTGGTATAGGCCGCTATCGTGTGTGCCGATAAATGAGCACAGTCGTCTTCTTACATGCTAAGTATTTGCAAAAAAGATAAATAATAAGTTACACATAAATTATAATAAAATAACTACATAACATAAACGCATTGATAGTAAGAAACACACAAATTAAATAATGATTTAAATAACAGAAATCGTATTCTTTCATCGGTCCACAAGGCACACAAGGAAAAAGAAATACAAATGAGAGGATGAAAATAAAAATAATAAATAAAGTTCAATCACGGAATGTTAAGAAATCAAGACCGATGACCGAAACTAAACCTAGTTTGCACATTACATCCACAACAAATCAACATTCGTATAAAACACGCTTCTAACTATAATAAATTTATATTTTAAAATCACACAGTATCAAAATCACTCCGCCTCCGTGAGGGAATTATCGGTTTTATAAAATATATGATAGTGAATTAAATTAAATGTCTTGAGTAGAGGGTTTGCGGCCACTAGTTCAGCGTCGATATATGGCGGAAACCTGGAGCACACTAATGTAGCATGAGGTCTTTGAGCGTTAGTAGTTGGGAGGTGGACAACCTGTTAAAAACGGGAAGACGCTGATCGTCCACTGGCCCGGGTGAATTCAGTTCGGGATCGCTGCTGAAGAACGAACCCATTGAAGAAGTCGGCGACTGGCTCAAACTACAAGGGGGGCTCGCACTATCCACAGAAAGTGCGGGACTCAGCGCAGCGGGACGCAATCTCTGGGTGGCAATTGCAGCCACGGCGGGTGTCGTTGACTTGGACACCACTTCATCCTGGTTGTGAACAAAATGACATCTTGGCCCATAGGGACAGAAGCCGACCGTGTGGTAGGTTCGACACAGTTCGGTCTTGTATTTGGGATGTCTGGCCAGACTACGCAGTTCCGCTAGTCCATGTGCGAATTGGCATTTGTCGCCGTACTTACACACTCCAAACTCCTCAAATGGTCGACATAACTCGGTTTTGTAACGTGAGGTATTTACGGTGGTGGCGGTGAGGGCGGCCTGTGGTGATGCTATTCCTGGAGCAGGTGCCGACTGGGTTCGCTCCAAACGACGGTGCTGCTGAGTTAAGTTGCCCAAGAACTCCCCAATGGTCATGTTTTGGGTGGCGCCACCCACTGGCGTCGATGCCATCCTGGACAAAGTCAGACGCACTGTTGAGCCGACTGCCAGTTGTGCCCCCGACATACTATCGGGATATACTCCATTCTGGAACAGAAAACACCATCTTTAATTCTCATTTCAACGAACGGTCAACAAACTGGAAATACACAACATAACAATTAACGCATAATGTTTTTGACCTTTCGCAACCGAACTATGTGTATAATTTGTTGTAATCCGTGGCCACTTTCGATTGTGAGAGGTAACAGCACCGCATGCCGTTTTCGCTTTAGAAAGCTTTCTACTATTACAAAACAGCCCGTCTTAAATTTGGAATTGCGCGATCAAAGCCGAGCTGTTTTCGGATCTCAGATCTATCTAGGCACTGTGGGGCTACATTTCTAGTCATATTGCTGCTGCCGGTTTCGATTCCAGCCTTTACACCCGTTTCTGCAGCCTTTCTTTGTTTCGCTCTCTCTGATTCGATCGAAATCGACGTGCTGCCGCTCAATTACCTTTCGAGATAAACACATTGCCCAACATGTGACATCTAGCCTTGAGCGTAATACATCAAATTTTTCCAATTTTTCAGTTGCCAAATCCAACCGGCAAACAACGGTTACCTGTTGATTTACAGGTAAAACACATCCTAATTGACTGGCTTAACCGATTAGGGGATTTGGTTTTTCAGTACGGTAAACACGCACATTCCACAAGAATGTGCTGATTTTGTGCACCTACCTATATGCCTCTAATAGTGCATTGTAACCTTGCGTTGTATGTGTGGGGCTATTTATGGGTCAAACATTGTTCATTGTTTTGAGATAGCCAGCCCACGTAGGCGGCGACTGTTAACTTACTTAAAAGGTACCTTAATTGAGAAGTTCGTTCGTGGCTGTTCTTCCGCAGCCCGTCATCTAAAACCTGAGCAAGTCAAATGCATTTGCAAGCTCAGAACATCCGTTTTTGGAGCAGTTCCTTTTTTGCTATTTAGTGACAGAACCAAATTCTCATGTCATACATCAAGGGCATTGTTGGCGTGCACTGACATTCGCGAGTTCAAAAAGCCCAAACTAATTAGTTTGAGTCGTCAATTTGACACAAAACAGTGTCACAGTGCAATTTTGTTTCGTTCTAATCAACTTTTGCAAGATTTTAGAGAAGTATATAGAAACAGCTCGAAAAGTGTGCAAATTTTGCTATAGATGTCATTAATCCCGATAAATAATGAAGTCTGGGAAGTTTGAACTGTCACTCGACGAGTAATTTGACGTTTTGCAGCGACACCATCGGTAGTTGAACTCGCGAATGGGAAACAAAGTAACGAAGTCACGCAAGAGGCACCTGAGCATATATTCTGTGGAAAATTCTGGTCAGGCAGGTAGAAATTTGTATTGTAAAACCCCTTTTGATTACTTTTACGTATATAAATACGTAAAATACGAGTCATTTCTCATTATGAACAAATTGTCAGTGATAAAATATCCAGCAACTATTAGGAGATTTGTTCCTGTTCGTAGAGTTGAGGAATTTTTAAGACCAGACATCCAGCCGCCAGCTAAACCAGAATCTACATTGTGTCAACCAAATAGGATAAACCATAAAATTATGCGGATAATCGAATATCTAACGAATATTCAAATAATTCGAGTATATTCGAGTATTCAACAAATATTAGACTATTAACTAAATTTTCAAATGGCATCATAGCATGTGTGGCACATCTAATTTCTTTATGCCTCAATTTTATGCGAATACACAAAATAGATAATTGAACAAATTCCTTGTAAAATAAGGAAATGCTTGTAGGAATATGAATGATTTATTTTATAAAAGTATACAAAGCGCATATAAAGAAATGACCACCTTGTGAGTTTGATAATGTTGGTGTATTCGAGTATTCGAGCTATGGCTAGAGATAATTATTCGCTTTTTGAATATTCGAATACTCGAATTATTCGAGTTTGAATGCGAGCCCTAAAATGTACGATTATCCATATAGGATAGACCATAGGGAACCAGCTGGTACAGACGGAAAAAGTGTGCAAACTGCATAGTATTGTTTGGCTGTGTGCAGTACTCGTATAGAATCCTTTATTACATTCCATATAAAATCTCTCGTGCAATAATGTCCGGTTGAATGAGCGAAAACTGGTACTTTGTGAATATTCTGATTAAAATCGCATTCGTGTATAGGTACCACTCTGTTCGTACTGGTACCATTAAAATCGCTGTTCGATTTTGGGGTGTCTTGTTATTGCCATCCATGCTGGTAGTCATTTATAATCCTGTTTTTCATTGTTACTAGACTCGATTCAGAACCTTCACACTTCGATCTATGCTGATGAGACATTTACCACCTTAAACTCGATAGCGTGGACTATTAATCGTAGCTTACGAAAATCAACAGACTATATAGAATGCTCTCAAATGCAACAGGTTGCTTTCATTTTCTTTGGTTTATGCACCAGTACACCGCATAGAAAAAGCTCCAAGGGTTTCTGTAAGTATGCGCCTACACCCTTGCAATACGTGAAAAGGCGAAGGTACTGCGGGGTGATGTCGACTCGAATTGGGGCAATCTTTGGACTGTTTTGTTAGTCATCAATTAGTATGAGTAGTGAAAAACAATGCAATTTTCAAACCTGCTCAATAACCGTATCTTCCAAATTTTCCTCAGCCATACTTTCAAAGGCTCACTGTTAACTCCGCCAAAATTGCTTGCTTGAAGCCGAACCCACACATACATAGATGAACCGACAAGGAAAGGAACCATGAAAATATCTGAGACGTACAGAATTTACGGCAAAGAAAAAACGTTGACTGGAAGGTCACGGGCGGGCTTGTTTTGGTTTATTTTGCGCCTTGGAACCGGGCTCTGAATTGTCGATTGAGAGGCCCACTATAGGTGGTAGTCGATGTGGCGAACAACCTGTTGCATGGGGATCCAGGTTGCTGAAAAGCGCGTTGTTCCGGCCAATCGTTCCTAGCTTAAAGTAAAGTCCGCAAAGAACTTCGTATGAATATGCATACCTTGATTAAATTATCCCCAAACTCGTACATGGCATTCTGTGACATTATCGCAGTAGACATTATCCTATTGTTAGCACAGCCACCAAAATTCCGGATTACAAGCGAAGCGCACCACAAAACGATACGGTATGACTGGAAACTCGCTGAAAACTACGACAAATTATGATAAACGCGCTATTCCACAACACACACAGTTATCGCCTGCGTTTTACGTCGAATGCGTTTCGTTACTGACGGGCTCACGGATCTTTTCTCTCGCCTCTCGCATTTGTTGGACCTGGACAAGTTTCATTTTCCTCTCTCTCCCCTACTTAACCCCGCTCCCGCATGGAGGAGTGGGGAAAGCTTTACAAACAACGCTGATGTTGCCAGTTTTTTATCGCTTTGCATTTTCCTGCGTTTCTACCGATGTCTCCACCTAAAACGCCTAAAACCCAAAAGTCGAAAATGATACCACCTCATGAGCACAGCTCGCAACTTAGGTAGGGTTGATTCGATACAAGTAAATACAAGTAGGTATTCGATACTTTTGTGTCGATACCGAGTACTTTGGTAATTGAATCGTTCTTTC